CTGTCTCAGAGAAAGTAACCCCCAAGCTGCATGAGAAAAAGCTGCTTTTTGACAAATTTTTCAGTCCTATGTTCCACTTTCGGTTGACCTTTAATCACACCTTGACTTTTGCTGTAAATTAGATTCCTTGCACCAAAGGGGTCCTTCCTTTCTCTCCAGTTATCTGCTGCCTATTTCATGGATTGTGTCATCTTTTTTTGATGGAGCTTTGTTCTTCTGCAAAGTAAAATGCCCCATTCTTGCTAATTCCCTTTGTATCTGTCTCAGTAGTAGCTTTTAAGGCTGCTAAAAATATCGGCGGAAACTAAAGCGTACGGGCAATCAAGCTTGATGAGATAGTTGGAATACAAAACACGGCTTTATTCTGGAAAGAGTTTGAACTTGATAATGCTTCTAATCCCAAGCAGTAGTTTAGATACTCATCTAATGTGCTGGGCAGAGATTCAATTAACATACCATTGGTATGATCCTATGCAGTATCTTCTCAAAAGTAAGGTATAAAGTTAAGGAGCCATAATAAGTATGTTTAGGCTTACAGTACAAAGTTGCTATCCAATGCACAATATTTGGAGAAAGTCCCATTGAATACAGTCAGAGTAGGGCTTGGGGAAGAAGGAATTCCTCAAGGTGTGGGGCCACCACTGAAAAGGACCTGCCCCATGTCAGTCTCTTCAACCTTAGCAGCAGGTCCAAGTTCCTGAGAGGTCTTAGTTTGAAAAAGATGATATGGTTATAGGTGGCCCTTGGCATAACCTGATCCTAGAACATTCAGAATTTTAAAGATTAGTTCTAGCATTATAAACTGAGCTTAAAAATTAACAGGTGCAAAATTGAGGTGACATGACCAATAATGCTTTTTGCTGGGTTGGGAATTGTGCAGACTGAAGTGACAAAACTGAATTGTGCAAACTGAAGTGACAAAATTCTGCTTTTGAAGGTTTCTGCTCTGATGTGCTTCCTGTGATGTTTGTCACATGAAAGCAGTTCTAGACAAATGGCTCCGTATCACTCAAAGAAAAGGAAAAATCAGTGTGTAAGGACTTAATTTCAATACTTTTAAGCACATGCCACATGAAATAAAATGTCCCATATGTTGTCATGCTTAGGGATGAATAAAATAGTTCTGATTAGAAGCTTGAAGGATAGACAGGATGGGCTTTGCTATAAAAACCATCCCTGGTTTCTTCTTCTTTGGTGATCACTCATAGCCGAGTAAGATTGTCTTCCATGAATATGGTCTCAACTGTCCCTCAGACCTTGTGGGGGGCCAGACTATATTTTTTTGAGGGGGGAAATGAATGAATTCCTATGCCCCACAAATAACCCAGAGATGCATTTTAAATAAACGCACACATTCTACTCATGTATAAACATGCTGATTCCCGGACCGTCTGTGGGCTGGATTTAAAAGGCGATTGAGCCGGATCCAGTCCCTGGGCCTTAGTTTGCCTACCCATGGTCTTAACAGTGTGTTAGTAACACTGCAGTAGTTTAGATACTCATCTAATGTGTTAGAGTCCCATGGACTGCAAGAAGATCAAACCTCTCCATTCTTAAGGAAATCAGCCCTGAGTGCTCACTGGAAGGACAGAACGTGAAGCTGAGGCTCCAATACTTTGGCCACCTCATGAGAAGTGAAGATTCCCTGGAAAAGACCCTGATGTTGGGATAGATGGTATTTTGTGTCTCAGTCAGTCAGTTTTATTGCACGTAGCCAAAGGCTGCCACAATGTACACAGAATTATTTGACAATTAAAAGAAAATATACTGAATTGGTAAAAAAAGACTTAAAACATTTATATTATTAAAACATTACATACTCTAAACAAAGCTATAAAAGTACCCCAATGTACAAATAAAAACATTAAACAATAAAATTCATAAGCTAAAATCATCACATGGTCACTAATGTTAAAAACAATATCAATTAATACAGATGGAGGGCACAAGGAGAAGGGGACGACAGAGGACGAGATGGTTGGATAGTGTTCTCAAAGCTACCAGCATGAGTTTGACCAAACTGCGGGAGGCAGTGGAAGATAGAAGTGCCTGGCGTTCTCTGGTCCATGGGGTCACGAAGAGTTGGACACAACTAAACAACAACAAAGTAACACTGCTGAGACTTGCAGTCTGAATAAGCTAAACTGGATTTAGTATGTAAACTAAAATCCCATGTATTGGTTTGGAGAAGCATTGCAAAAACTGAACACAAAACTGCTAGACAATCTTTTGAAAGACTTAATGCAGTTTTACTACAGAACAGAAGACTAATTTGATGAGAAGTCAAGCCTTAATTCAAATATTATCAGATGCATCACCTGAAAACACTATGAAAGCCTCTGCTATTTAAAAAGTCCAACAGAAAAAGAGATTAATTGTAAGATAATGTTTTTAATTACCAATGGGATTTCCCTTTTGAGCTAACTGGGTTTCTTTTTCCCCAGGACTGAACACTGACACTATTTATTATTATTCATGAGGAAGGTGTTGGGTTTTTTAAAAAAAAGAATTTGTTATGAACCAGTAGTTAAAGTAGATGCAACATAAGTGTCTGTTTTGAATTACTTTTCTTGCCTCTGAGCAATTCGATGGATCTTTCTAATTTTTATGTGTATTTTGGGGTGTAGGATCCTGATATTCTTATTTTAATATTATTAGATGAGGCAGTATTAGGATGGCTAGGAATCTCATTTTTAATCCCTCCAAGCAAAATATAAATAAAGCAGAAATAATTAAGCACAAGAAAAATGGGTATCATAAAGGTAAACCTTGGTAGTTGAAATCTTCAGCCTTAAAGATTATTTTGTGTTTGCTTTTTCACTGCAGTGTTTATTCTATTTTGCTCCTGCTCAAGTTATCAGACTACTTCATTCACATTTTTCAGTTTTTGTTGTTGCAACCATTAAAAAATTCCAGCAGATGTGCTATTGTTAACACAGCTGTGCAGACAAACTCTTTACTTTCCTTTTTTTAAAAAAGAGCGCCCCAGGTGCCCATTGAGCCATTTAATTGATAGCTGCATAAACAATCACCCCCCAAAAGCTCCCCAAATCTCCTCCAACAATAAAATAATTTGTCCGCTAATTGAAAAGGCCTTAACTTTGGTTGCCAATGGAAAATGCTTACTTTAGGGAGCTAAGGCGATTACAAATAAAACACGATAACTGCAAACTAAGGAATGTGGTGCACCAGCTGCCACAAATGCAGATAACTCCTAAAGTTTGGTTCCCCAGGAGAAACTCCTGGTGGGCATAAAGCTAGGTGTCTCATAGTTATTAAAAGGTCACTGTTATCTGTTGGCTATTTCATGCTTCTACTGATGCTAATTGTTTGGCTGTGATCTAGACAGCCCCTTTTCTGATTAGAAGGTACCTTTGCTTATACAAACAGGTATGATTTCAACTGATTTCCACCCCCCACCAACCGTAGCCCCCACTTCATGCCAGATGATTTTCAAAAATAATGGAACACTTACCTGTGGCAGCGTTGGGTTTGTGGGCAGGTGGCGCTGTGGTCTAAGCCACTGAACCTCTTGGGCTTGCTGATCAGAAGGTCAGTGGTCAGAATCTCTGCAGTGGGGTGAGCTCCTGTTGCTCTGTCCCAGCTTCTGCCAACCTAGTACAGTGGTACCTCAGGTTACGAACTTAATTCGTTCTGGAGGTCCGTTCTTAACCTGAAACCGTTCTTAACCGGAGGTACCACTTTAGCTAATGGGGCCTCCCGCTGCTGCCACGCTGCCGCCACATGATTCCTGTTCTCATCCTGAAGCAAAGTTCTTAACCTGAGGTACTATTTCTGGGCTAGCAGAGTCTGTAACCTGAAGCGTCTGTAACCCGAGATACCACTGTAGTTGGAAAGCATGCCAGTGCTAGTAGATAAATAGGTACCAGTGCAGCGGGCAGGTAAGCAGTGTTTCCATGCACTCAGGTTTCTGTCACAGTGTCCCATTGCGCCAGAAACAGTTTAGTCATGCTGGCCACATGACCCAGAAAGCTTCCTGCAGATAAACTCCAGCTCCCTTGGCTTGAAAGCGAGATGAGTGCCACAACCCCATAGTCGCCTTTGACTGGACTTAACCGTCCAGGAGTCCTTTATCTTTAGCTTTTTGGGGGTTTGTGGGCATCCCTTAGTCACTGTTGCCAGGCATGGCCTGCTGGTGCTAGGGGTGCCCTTTGGCCTGATGGACACATCGGGGTGAACATTGGTCAATGGCGCCACAGTGTGCCTGCTGGGCTCTAACATCCAAGATCCATGCATCAGGGAGAGAGAAATCTCAGGAAACCTTGCTGCGCACACACAGAGTGAGGCTGTTAACTTGTCCAGGTGATGAGAATAGAAATTACCCCCATATATCAATGAACACCTGCCCAGACATAAGTTGATTTGGTTACATTGGTTGAATCTGACTAGTTCATTTGTTTTGCAGATCCTCAAGTTGTCATATTTAATAAAGAGAACCTATTTATCCACATCTGGTTGCCTTGATTCTTCTTCCTGGTATGCTGGCAAGGTACCTTTGCTTACAGAAACAGATATGGGATTTCAGCTGATTTCAATCTCCTGCCAGCTGTAGCCCCACATCCCACACCAAAGGACCCTAAAAACAGAACCCAGAGAGGAAGGGTTAGATCGTGTTTCAGCACAGGTAAATGAGGATCAAAGAGGCCCAAGGGAAATGACATAGTCAAAGACAAACGGATAAAGGGATATTGGCAAGGCATGGTGCTTTGATTTTTGATTTAGCAGAGTTTGGCCCAGCTGTCAAAGTGACAGAAGGAATAAGCTGCATGGACCCTTCTGCCAGAGTTCCTGGTTCCCCATTTGTGGTGTGTGGCACCTCAGCGCTAGCTTTTGAGGTGACACAGCGGTCCACAGTGGGAAGGAGAAGGCAGGAAAACTCGATTGCATGTAATCCTATGCACACCTCTCTGACCCACTCAAGCAATTGTGATTTCAGTGGTCAGCGCATGATGTCATAAAGAGTACTTGTCATGAGCCAGGAGTCAGCTTCGCCTGCTGAACAGCAGCCTGAAGGGGAAGAAGGCAGAGGGACTCCACCTGCAGCTGATCAGCCTTCAAGGACTCTGAAGTGAAGGCACTGATGAGAACCATCTGGCTTCAGTCAGATGCTGGAAACAGAACGTGTTGTTCCTGATCCAGTATTGCTGTTTCTTGATCCTCTTGACCTTTGATCATCAGATTCCCTGACCCCTGGAGTGTCTGACCACAGGAATAGTTCTTGCCTGATCCTAGGACTGGACCTGACTTTGGATCCGGACTCTGCCTACAGGTAAGTGCACCCCATAGACTCTGTTGGTTGGCTGGCCTCTCACTTCCCTGAGCTCGCCCATTGTAGCTCAGCATGGGACTGTGACAGTATTGTGTATAACTTAGGATGCCCCATGACCTTGTCCTTTAGACTTATTTGGTCTCTAAGTTCTGTTTCCATACCTGACTGTTGCTCCTCACATCTGAAATTTCCAGTTGTGACAATGCGTTAGTAGCCAAAATTGTGGAAACCTTTTGGGGAAAGTGTATTTCTGAGGTTTGATCGTTCGCTTACTGCATAGAGTGTTCTCCCTTGTGGAGAGCACGTGTTGTGGTGGAGGCTGACAAGACACACGCTGTTGCTGGGCAAAAGAGTTTGGCCATCTTGAAACAGGGGCAGGCTGTTACCGGGGAGATTTGTATGTTGCCATTTATTGATTGATAGCCCTATTTGATAAATACACTGCACGCAGCGACGGGCTTTCTCTTTTCGCTGCATGCTTCGGATCACCCGCCTTCCCTCCCTAATGTTTAGGCTGTTCACTTGGCCTTGCTATGCCTGTCATGGGGTCGTCTGCTTTGGGGCAGGGGCACGGTAGGAATTTTGTCCATTTGGCTGATTAGTGTGTGCCATTTGGTTTTTGCCTACTGCGTAGCAAATCGTTACAACTTGTAAGGTTGCGGTTAGGCATTGGTTTGGGAATTGGTTGGTGGAGGGGTATGGATTTGGCTGTGCCTGCCCCTCCAAATTACTGCTGCAAGGGTTTTCCATTAAAGGAACCCAGGGGCTTGCCATGCTTCGTCCGAACCCCTGGCAAGGGGCTAGGGCCACGCAAGCCCCTGGGAGCATTCTGGGGAGAGGTGAGGCATGATTCCCAGTCCCGTCTCTCTCCCCAGGTGACTTACCCTTTCTGACTTCGCAGGGGGTGCGAATGTCAGACTGTCCCCAGGCAGGGTCAGTTAGTCGCTACCAATGCCTAAGCAACCACTCACATTGCTGTAATTTAATAAAGTTGTGGCCAAAATTATGCCAAAAACCTTAAACAAATATCAAGTGTCAATTGTGTTTTTATTTGGGGTGTCTTGGGGACCTTGACGCACAGTACATTCTTCATTAAATTATCTTTCCATTGATACATAATTTTATGGTATTACTCCCCCCAAAAAGTGGTGTTATGAGCCTCGGAAATACACTTTTTCCAAAAGTTCCACAATTTTGACCACTAGTGTATTTTAAGTCAACATAAGGATAAGGACTATACCAAATATTCTTCACTTATAATGCCTAACTTGAAAATGATGATTACAACAAGGGGGTATAAATATTTCTCCTATCTTCCTTTTAGAGAGGCAGTCATAATTTCCATTATTTGCTGCTGCTTTTTGCACATTTCTTCCCTTCTGGTGCCTGACTTCTTTCTCCTTCCTGGATTGGTCACATGGGTGACTCCAGCTCATCAATAAGTAGTGAGTAGGATAATACCTTCCAGGGGAAGGCGACCTGATGCTCCGCATCTATTGCTGATCAAACAATTCCCATCAACCTGAGCCAGCATTGTCAATGGTCAGAAGAGAGGAGAAATGTTGTCTGAAAAATGTGAAAGGCACCCAAGTTTGCTGCTGTTGTCCTGCACAACTAATCAGATATGCGTACATAATAGAATCGCTGTGGGCAAGGAGAGCAAGAAGAGAGGGCAATGCTATGACTAGTCATGCTTCCCAAAAAATGGGGGATTGCCCCAAAATTGTAAGAAAGTGAAGACATTTTCAGCACCACTGAAAATGCTTATAAAAGAGAAAGAAAGAAAAAAATGAGTTTATTTGTAAGAGGGAATAGAGCACTGTTTCTCTTTTGTATTTTCATTTTTTAAAAGCATACTGCGCATCCGTGGAAATGACTTACTGTTGAATAACTTTTGATGTCAATCAGTGTCTAGTTTCTGCTTTGCATTCCCCACAGGGACTACCATGGTAGTTTAGCATGCCTGAATGAGCTAAGACAGATAGAGGCATTCTGATCTCTTTGTTAGTTGCAGCTGATTTTTATTCTCTCGGAGGATCTGAGGAGAGAAAAGGAGAACTCTAACAAACTGTTGTGACTTCAAGTATGCCACTATTCATGATCATATCCCGACGAAAACCTTAAGTTCTGTATTTCCCAAAGAAATTTTGTTTTGTTTTGTTTTTTTGTTTTTTTGAATGAGCTTTGTTATTCAAAAGAGCTTGTAGCTTTCTTTGCATAGCGTTGGCATCCTGCTGGCTCTGACACACACTTGCAGATTCCCGCTGAAGCTGATTCAATTAAAAACAGAGAAATCAATATAAATTTGAGAAAAGGCATTAGACAAATGATCTGCCACTCACAGAGCTTTTTGTACTGGGCAGGTTACCATGTAAGAAGCAGGCTTTACCAAGTGGTTTGCGTCTTTTGGTTAATCAAGAATAATTTCATATAATGAGTGGAAGCTGCTGCTGCTGTGTGTTAATTTGTTTTGGTACAGCTGTAATGGCATGTGTTTATATAGTTAAATAAAGGACATTATTTAAGCAGCTTATGGTTTTAAAACATTTTGCAATTACATTTTTAGAATTATGCTTTAGGGTTATTATTACTTAAATGGGGAGAAATCATTCATACTGACGATCAAACTACACTGGAGGAAGTTTTTTCACCCAAGTTATCTTGATCGACTATACAAGTCTCGTAAGGAGGCTTTAATCAGATATCGGGTACATCTGTGCAACAAAATATATGTTTTATGATAGCCTGTATTTGTAATACCTAATAAAGGTGTGGCGAAGTAAGTCTTCAAGGTGTGAGAGACTCCACAGTTTCCAGCACTTACCTCTGGGTTTGGTTTCCTTGAAATGAAGGTCACTGAAGATTGTGGTGCCTTCATGATACGTGAATTTATTTACACATACATTCAAACTGAACATATAAAGGATTCTTCCATCTATGAAAAGGCTTTTGATCCACTTGAAGGATCTGGGCAGGTGACTTTTGACAATTTCCCCTCCTCCTGCTGTCCCCAGAAGGACCCTTGGAATAGGCAAAAGTCAGCTCTAGTTGGAGTGAATTTCTGGATCTTAGTCACTGTGTCTTCCCTTTGAAACAAATTGCGATATACTTTAGCGTCGTACCATGGATTGCTCCCACTCGGCCAGTGGATACACTGCTGTCAACATGTGGCGGCAGCTTTAAATTGCTCCATGTAGCTTTGGGGATAGATTAGTCGCTGAACACAAATGTTTCCATACACAGACCTTTGCTATATGAAACATTTCAGATTACCTCTACCTTGAATGATTCTAGATCTGGATTATTTAGCAGCACCTAACCGCTGCTGTTAAGTGGGATGCGGGTGGCGCTATGGGTTAAACCACAGAGCCTAGGGTTTGCCGATCAGAAGGTCGGCAGTTTGAATCCCTGCGACGGGGTGAGCTCCCGTTGATCGGTCCCTGCTGCCAACCTAGCAGTTCGAAAGCACGTCAAAGTGCAAGTAGATAAATAGGTACTGCTCCGGCGGGAAGGTAAACGGCATTTCCGTGCGCTGCTCTGGTTCGCCAGAAGCGGCTTAATCATGCTGGCCACATGACCCGGAAGCTGTACGCCGGCTCCCTCGGCCAATAAAGCGAGATGAGCACCACAACCCCAGAGTCGGTCACGACTGGACCTAATGGTCAGGGTTCCCTTTACCTTTAACCACTGCTGTTTCACTTTATGCTGTCCAGGAAGTGACTTGCTAAAAAGAATTGACTCCTAGAGAGGGGAGAGGGACCATAGAGAAGGCAATGTCTAGAGCATGGGTGGGCAAACTAAGGTGTGGGGGCCTGATCCGGCCCAATCACCTTCTAAATCCAGCCTGTGGACGGTCTGGGAATTAGTGAGTTTTTACATGAGTAGAATGCGTGCTTTTATTTAAAATGCATCTCTGGGTTATCTGTGAGGCATAAGAATTCATTCTTTTTTCCTTTCTTTTTCTTCAAAATATAGTCCACCCGCCCCCCACAAGGTCTGAGGGAAAGTGGACCGACCCACTGCTGAAAAAGTTTATTGACCCCTGGTCTAGAGTAATCTATACCAGCCGTAACTAGCCCCCCAAACCCCACTGTACAGCTGTGTGATCTGTGTTCTACAACTGAGGACATTTTGCAGTTGTTCCTTTGGGTGAAAAAGTCAGATCTTCTGATCTCCGGAATAAAAATGTAACATGTTATTTTCACAGAGCCAATCTGTTAATTTTCTCAGCAGGTGCGTAGCATAGAGTTTGGAAGGAACATCCAGTAAACGAATAGGACAGTCATTTTTTTGGGAGGGGGCAGGCAGTATCCCCTTTCTTGTGAATTGGCATGATGATATTTAATTTCCAACCTGCTGGCATTTGTGTTGTGTTATTTGTATGTGTGAACAGCCTAGCCAAGATGGGTTGCCACCAGTCCATATGTGCCTTTAAGAGCTCCAGTTGCATTGTATCCTCACTTGGGGCTTTCTATGAGAGATCTTATTTCTGTAGGGGATACTGCCTGCCATTCTGGTGGTTTTGACCAGTCAATGGTCACTTCAGCATCCAATGGTTGCCCTGCCTGTTCTCCAAATAGTTCTATATAGTACTTCACCCAATGTTGTGCCAGTATGGTGGCAGCTAGTGCTGATTTTGTTTCATTCATGCCCCAAGCCACCGGGTCCCAGAATTTATCCTCCCTTTGTTCAGACACTGCCAGCCCTAGTTCTTGCCACTGACATCTCACAAAACTTGCTTTTAAAAAAATTCTTAATGATTTTCTTGTATGCTACTCTGATCTTACTCATATTTCCCTGATTAATTTCAGAGGGTTGCATCCCCCCCCCCGAAATGACATACGGGCCCTGAAAAGGTAATTATTTGCCTCCTTATATATGTAAAATGAGCTGCTAGGCTCCAAAGATGTTTCTGTAGGACAAACGTCCAGACAAAATTCCCTGCTGCTACTACTCACGGGTAATGTGACCTTGACTTTTTTTAAAAAGTGTTCCGTCTTGGGTATATTTGACATTTTATGAACCGTAGATAGTTTGTGAAATTGAAACAAGAAAGTAACATGCCAATGCTTTGTTCACATCTGAAATGTGCCATTGCTTTCAGTCATGCATAGACAACAGTAATCATATCAGTGTTTTTCTCCTCAGCTGACTAAAAGCACTAAAGCCCTGTGTAATTTTAAAATGGCAAAGGAAACAGATGCCCAGTCTCTTTGTCAGCTTCTTCCACTCAACGCCTTTGTGGTGTTCCTATCAAATGTTGCTCTGCAGAGAGTTTTGCTGGAGCTGATGAACACAAAATGAATGCATTATGGCTGATAAGGAGCTGCAGCCAAAACTGGCAGCCCAATGGCCCTGTAATTCGCCAAGTGACAGGACGCCATCTTTCCATGAGTTTCCCCACCTCAGTGAGTGGCAGACAGTGACTTGGACCTGGGCCTGGGGAAATACACAATGTAATGATGCCACATAATACTACTAGAAATTACATGAGAGCCAGAAATGGGAACTTTTTTATAAAAAATCACCACTGTATTGTCCATAATACCTAGCGATTGCTAATATACCTTAAAGCTTCTCTCCCCTTTCATCACCCAGTTTCTTATTCATATTGTGTTAGACACAGGCTACACAGAAACTTTATTATTGTTATTTAAAGAAAAAGTATTGGGATGGTGTCTCCAAACCAGTAAGGCAAGGGCCAGCCCAATATTATTTTTTTCTGCCTGAGTCGAAGGACAAAATTGCTCCCCATTCCATTTGCTCAGGTCAACTGGTCTGACAATACTTCTACACTGATAGTGGGATGACGTTTCTGTGTGCTCTGGTTTCTGTCATGGTGTTCCATTGTGCCAGAAGTGGTTTAGTCCTGCTGGCCACATGACCTGGAAAGCTGTCTGTGGAAAAGCGCCACCTCCCTCGGCCTGAAAAGCGAGATGAGTGCCGCAACCCCATAGATGCCTTTGACTGGACTTAACCGTCCAGGGGTCCTTTACCTTTACATACCTGTGTTCTCCAAGCCTTCTTAGCACACACAGCTCTGTTCCCCGGCATCTGCTGCCTGAGGCAGCCACCTCAATCACAGTGGCTCTGAGAGAGGTCCTACTACACCCTAGAGGTTGCTCACAACCATCAGATAGGTTTGCATGGACGGACACTCTTAAGGGTCTGTTCCAAGCATAGCTGTCAACTTACAGATTTGAAAATAAGGGACCAGCAGCCAAAATAAGGGATTTTAGTCAACCAGTTAAAAGGGTCCAGGTAATTTTGGAGAGCAGCGCCGGTTTTTAGCCCTTCGTTTCCAGAGGTTGCTGCTCAAGACACCAGCCGATGAAACACTGCAATTAAATAACTACAAGCAGCAACCACTTTTTGCGCAAAATGAAGTTCAAGTTATGAAGATGCTGCTGCAGTTCTGTATCTTTTCTCCCGTGCTCCATCTGCAGCTCTCGGTTCCATCAGGCGGGGCGGGAGGAAGGGGGGGCGGAAATAGCGCCTGAAGTAAACCTGCAGATCAGACCATCTATGCTAGTCTACCACTACAAATCTATGGGAGAAGCACTTGCAGTCCTTCCCTTGTAGCCCTTGGAACACCTGCCCGCGCTTCCTCCTCCTCCTCTTCCTCCTCTCTCTGAACTGCTTTCTCTATGGTTGCCCTCGCTCTTCTCTCAAGGCTCCTCAGCTATTCATAGGCCATGCCAGGCTGCCCATCTCATCCAGGTCCTTCGGTGGCACAGCCACAGTACGGCCTAGCGGGAGCGGCGGCGATGGGCAGAGGGGAGGCCCCAGGCAGAGACGCTCAGTTCGGCGGCCGTGAGGAGGATGGCGGCAGAAGGGCCCGAGGCTCCCGCCAGTCCCGGCGGGGAGGGGCTCCCGGGGGCCGAGGCTGGTGAGAGGAGGCTGGAGGGGGGCGGGGCGGGCAGCCAAGCAACACACTTGGAGCCTCCCTCCTCCCTGGCCGGCAGGGAGGGAGGGAGAGGAGCTGCGTCCTTTGAAACCTGGGAAATTTAAGGGACATCCATCAATAAGGGACAGCAGTGGGATATGGCGCTGGGATAAGGGACTGTCCCTCCAAAAAAGGGACGCTTGACAGCTATGGTTCCAAGGGATGGATGAGTTGCATTTTCAACTTCCTGTACTGAAAATATGGCATCTGATTTGGCAGAAGGCTGCTTCAGTTCTGGAAGAAATGACATCTTGTTCATGTGTTTACCTCAGGAGCATGCCTATCATTTGTTCGTTCATTTCAAAATGGATGTGCCGCAAATCCTTAATACAATGGGCAGGACACTGTTCCAATGACATGCTGGTTTGATGTAGGCTGAGGGCATTGCTAGGCAAGTATACTGTTGCACTCATAGGTAATAAGAACCTGTTAGCTTGGCTTCAGTAACTGGTGAGCTATTGTGTATGGGGATGAATTAAATCCATGTATTTGTTCAGCATGACTTCTGGCTGAGTTTAAATGCCATTAATTCTGCTCTCTCGTTTCTAAAGTTGGTTTCCCCTCTGCATATATAACAAATAAATAAATCTTGTCTGCCACTTTATAAATAAGTAGAATGGTCTTCTTTGGAGGAAAACCAGAGTGTGGTACAGGAATCGGCCAGACTTTGTCATGAACAAATGGTACTCTCAACTTTTCCAAAGTCATTCATAAAATGTTTGTCTGTCTAGTGGGACCTTTGATACAGAAGTGCAGGGCACAACAGGGCTTTTTTAAACTTCCAATTCCAATATCCTGTCTGCATGTGATAAACAGAGTCTAGCTGGAGTAAGACAGCTTTGTAGTCATTATACGTCTCTGTGCAGAAGATGGGAATATACCCTCTCCACACATGCATAAACACAAACGTGTGGAATACTCTCCTTAGGGAGATGTGCCTGGCACCGTCCTTCTCAATCTTTAAGTGTCAGGCTAAGCTTTGATTTACACAGGCTAATTACTGTTGCCTCCTATGGTGATGCTGATATTTTAATGGGCTGGGTGGAGCCTGTCCTTATGAATACACTGGTGGGTGAACATTTCATCTACAGTGGAACCTCGGTTGTCAAACGTAATCCATTTTGGAAGGCCGTTTGACTTCCGAAACGTTTGACAACCGAGGCAATTGCCAGTCGGCAAATTCCTTTTGAAAAAATGAGAAACAAGGCACATTTGAAAACGGAAGCATTCACTTCCGGATTGTTGGTGTTCGGGTTCCGAATTGTTCGGCTTCCGAAGTATTCAACAACCAAGGTTCCACCATATTTTGAATTATTAGTTGTTTTATTTTTTTAGGGTTTTAAATTGCTTTTATATGTTGTACAGTGGTACCTCGGGTTAAGAACTTAATTCATTCTGGAGGTCCATTCTTAACCTGAAACTGTTCTTAACCTGAGGTACCACTTTAGCTAATGGGGTCTCCCACTGCTGCTGCACCGCCGCCGCACGATTTCTGTTCTCATCCTGAAGCAAAGTTCTTAATCCGAGGTACTATTTCTGGGTTAGCGGAGTCTGTAACCTGAAGTGTCTGTAACCTGAAGCGTCTGTAACCCAAGGTACCACTGTATTTTACTTTGCCAAGTAGGGTTGAAGACATTTATATCGCATAAAGCTCTAACACCAATCATGTTTGATCTGTTATGATGGAGTCTGTTCACTGCCAGTTGTTCTATGTGTAAAGGTCAAAAGGTAAAGAACCCCTGGATGGTTAAGTCCAGTCAAAGGTGACTATGGGGTTGCGGCGCTCATCTCGCTTTTCAGGCCAAGGGAGCCGGCGTCTGTCCACAGACAGCTTTTTGGGTCATGTGGCCAGCAGGACTAAACTGCTTCTGCCGCAATGGGACACTGTGACAGAAACCAGAGCGCACAGAAATGCTGTTTACCTTCCTGCTGAAATGGTGCCTATTTATCTACTTGCATTGGCATGCTTTCGAACGGCTAGGTTGGCAGGACCTAGGGACAGAGCAATGGGAGCTCACCCCGTTGTGGGGATTCAAACCGTCAACCTTCCAGTTGGCAAGTCCAAGAGGTTTAGACCACAGCGCCACCTTCAAGTGATTCTCCTTCCCTCTGCATCTGCTTGTGGAGACTCCATCACATAAATGTTTTTCATTTCTTTGGAACGTAGAACTTTTCAAATGTCTGAGTATACATAGCTTAACCTTTAGGTCTGGTACAGTGGCATGCTGTTATCTGCATCAAATGCTTCTATTTTTTGCAATATTCAGGAGTGCAGCAACAGAAGCTGCACACCTTCCTTTATATTTTCTTCCTTATCATAATGGCTATTGCCTTCCTGTATAAGATACAATTTTTGTCTGGAACTTTTGTAAGCTGATATTGCCTTAGCTGAGCACTTCAGTTATTTAAGGTCCCTCGTGCTGTTGCATGCATTCCTGTCCATACTGACAGTGCAATCCTATATGTATTTACTCTGAAATCAGCCCTGAGTGCTCACTGGAAGGACAGATTGTGAAGCTGAGGCTCCAATACTTTGGCCACCTCATGAGAAGAGAAGACTTCCTAGAAAAGACCCTGATGTTGGGAAAGATGGAGGGCACAAGGAGAAGGGGACGACAGAGGACGAGATGGTTGGACAGTGTTCTTGAAGCTACCAGCATGAGTTTGACCAAACTGCAGGAGGCAGTGGAACACAGGAGTGCCTGGCGTGCTCTGGTCCATGGGGTCACGAAGAGTCGGACACAACTAAACGACTAAACAACAACAACAACAACAAAAGTCACACTGTATTCTTTCACAATTACTCCACAGTTGAGGCCTACAGCCTCAATCCACACTAACTACAAGTTCTATATATAAATTCCATGTAAGCTTATAAATAATGATTCTCAAAACTGATTTGCTAACCATGAAATGTTTTATTTGTAGAAAGATTACTAGGACTCTGCGTGCAACAGCTTCAAAATATATTTCCATGCCTTTTAAAAGCTGGATCTTAAAACATCTGAGGAAGAGAAGGAAGAACAAACAGACTCTTTAACACTTCTAAAATCAGAGCAAATCCCAAGAGCCAATTTTAATTGAAGACAAAGAGCAAAGATGTCCTGGGACCTCCAGATATCTCATTATTACTTTAGCAGACTGATTTAATAAGTGTCAAGTAAAATCTCTCTATTTTATCTCTTTAAAAAGTCTTGCACACAGGAGATCTCAAATCAGTCGGCCTGTAGGTTGTATTCCAATTCTCCTTTCAACTGAAGAACTTGATACAGAAAATATAATAAAGCTACCTTCTTACGGTCCTTTAAAGTAGGAATTATGAGTTATATTCACAAATAATGATTGTGGTGAGTTTTTTTTAAGTATCAGTTTAAATGATGCTTTGTAGAAATAATGTAAGTACATAGGTCCTTGCCCTAAGGAATTTAGAGACCAAATCTATGCATATCACAAGTCGGGGGTCAAACTGTACATGACACTTAATGTAAACTGTACAGTTATGTCTCTTGGATTTTACAAAACGAACTACAGCTGTTCGCATGGGGGTGACTGTTATCAGGACCACTGTGTGCTGAGAGATGCAAAAAGAAATGGGATTTTTTTTAAAGCACAGATGCGAGGCAAATTGTTCGGCCTGTGCCCATCCCTAGAATACATCCCAAAGGGCTTGATACATAGCTATCAACTTACAGATTTGAAAATAAGGGACCAGCAGCCAAAATAAGGGATTTTCTGGCCACAGGTATGTTCAACTTCTGAGCTCCTCCGAGCCAAAGGCAGAAAGCCCAGCCAGCAGCCAAACAAAGCCTCAAGCGGTGGTTCCCACAGCGCAGCAACCCAGCAAAGGGGATGCAGCAAGGAAAACCACCATCACCTCTCCGCTGGGAAGCACTGAGCAAAGGCGAGTCCCCAGGCAATGCGGCCGATTTGATCGGCACAAGGCATGCAAGCTCCACCCCCCAGTCGTTCTTAGACTCCTTATTGGGTGAGCAATGCAGCCAAGCAACACAGTTGGAGCCTCCCTCCTCCCTGGCCGGCAGGGAGGGAGGGAGAGGAGCTGCTTCCTTTGAAACCTGGGAAATTTAAGGGACATCATCAATAAGGGACAGCAGCGGGACACAGCTGGGATAAGAGACTGTCCCTCCAAATAAGGGACGCTTGACAGCTATGTCTTGATACGATCTCCTGTTGTCATGTTTCAGAAATCAGAAAGATCTTTGGTCTGCACATGAAAGTTCACATAAAGGGACTACCCAATTCATATCGGTGAAAAGAAAAGCTCTTTACATGGGTGGACTGCATATGTTGAATATTTTCTGCTTTGAAATGAATTGAGCAACCCCCACAAATGTGACACACCTGTTGCCCGAGAGCAGGAAAACTTTCCCATGTCCATCTTAAACTGAACACATTGATCCTTGCTGTGTCTGCTTTCACTGTATAAATAATAAATAATGTAAAATTGAATTTATAATCTTTAGGGACCATATTTTTCTCTCTACGTTCAAGATAGAGTAGTTTTTTTTAAAAAAAAATCATAACTTTTTATTGATCTATTTCTTCTTTTAATGTTTCTAACACAGCAATCCTACATTCACATTCTGTGAAAATAACACACCACAGTTATGCTGGTGTAACAGCTGTTCTATCCACTCAGCTTGGGAAAGGAGGGGAAAAGATGATATAATAATAATAATAAAATTAATAAACGTATTATTTATACTCCACCTATCCGGCTGGGTTTCCCCAGCCACTCTGGGTGGCTCCCAACAGAATATTAAAAACCCAATCAAACATTAAACACTTCCCTAAACAGGGTTGCCTTCAGATGTCTTCTAAAAGTCAGATAGCTATTTATCTCCTTCACATCTGAAGTTCCACAGGGTGGGTGCCACTACAGAGAAAGCCCTCTGCCTGGTTCCCTGTAACCTCACTTCCTGCAGTGAGGGAACTGCCAGAAGGCCCTTAGAGCTGGACCTGTGTCCAGGCTGAACAATGGGATGGAGATGCTCCTCTAGGTATACTGGGCCAAGGCCATTTAGGGCTTTAAAGGTCAGCACCAACACTTTGAATTGTGCTCGGAAACATACTGGGAGCCAATGTAGGTATTTCAGGACTGGTGTTATACGGTCCCTGCAGCCACTCTAGCTGCCACATTCTGGTTTAGTTGTAATTTCTGGGTCACCTTCAAAGGTAGCCCCATGTAGAGTGCATTGCAGTAGTCCAAGCAGGAGATAACCAAAGCATACACCACTCTGGCGAGACAGTTTGCGGGCAGATAGGGTCTCAGCCTGTGTACCAGATGGAGCTGGTAGACAGGTGCCCTGGACACAGAACTGACCTGCGCCTCCATGGACAGCTGTGAGTCCAAAATGACTCCCAGGCTGCACACCTGGTCCTTCAGGGGCACAGTTACCCCATTCAGGACCAGGGAGTCCTCCGCACCTGCCTGCCCCGTCCCCCCAAAACAGTACCCCCCAAGACAGTACTTCTGTCTTGTCAGGATTCAACCTCAATCTGTTAGCTGCCATCCATCCTCTAACCACCTCTAGACACTCACACAGTGTGTCAGGGCTTGGGGGAAGAAAACACAGTTGTGTAAAAAGGATACTAGATGACCTTCAGGTTCCTTCCAACTGTACATTTCTGTGATTCTACGATACATTTCTCGGAAATATTAAACAGTGTTGAACATCAGATGATTTCAGCAGCCTGTTGTTCATATCGGTTTTCTTGAGGTTCCATCTTAAAGTTCCGCATGAGGATGCTGTCATCTAGGTAACCTAATTCATACAATTTTCAGGAGGAAGCAACATTTAGAACAAATACTATAATTTGTGACCCAAAGTGTTAATGCTGTAGCAATTATAATTATAATTATTTATTAAATTTCTACATCATCCTTCATCTGAGGATCGTGGAGCAGTTTACAAATAGTCTGTGGTAATTGCTACAAACAGATTGATACAAAATATCAGTACTTCTGTAATTTGAAATTAAGAGATGTTGGAAACAATTTATGATGGAACTTGTGGTGCTGAAATACATAGGTTGAATATAAGTATTTGCTTCTTTTGACAAATACAGTGGTGCCTCGCAAGACGAAATTTATCCGTTCCACGAGTCTCTTCGTCTTGCGGTTTTTTCGTCTTGCGAAACACGGCTATTAGCGGCTTAGGGGCTATTAGCGGCTTAGCGGCTATTAATGGCTTAGCGGCTTAGCGGCTTTAAGAAAAAGGAAACAAACTCGCAAGACGTTTCGTCTTGCGAAGCAAGCCCATAGGGAAATTCATCTTGCGGAACGACTCAAAAAACGCAAAACCCTTTCGTCTAGCGAGTTTTTCGTCTTGCGAGGCATTCGTCTTGCGGGGCACCACTGTATACAGGGGTACTTTGGTTCTCGAATGTCTCTGTTGACAAATGTACTGTGCATTTGAGTATTTGCAGAGTTTTGAAGGGACGCGGGTGGCGCTGTGGGTTAAACCACAGAGCCTAGGACCTGCCGATCAGAAGATCGGCGGTTCGAATCCCCACAATGGGGTGAGCTCCCGTTGCTCGGTCCCTGCTCCTGCCAACCTAGCAGTTCAAAAGCACGAAGTGCAAGCAGATAAATATGTACCACTCTGGCGGGAAGGTAAACGGCGTTTCCGTGTGCTGCTCTGGTTCGCCAGAAGCGGCTTTGTCATGCTGGCCACATGACCCAGAAGCTGTCTGCGTACAAACGCTGGCTCCCTCGGCCTATAGAGTGAGATGAGTGCACAACCCCAGAGTCGGTCACGACTGGACCTAATGGTCAGGGGTACCTTTACCTTTTACTTTGAGTTTTGAAATTGCTCAGTGGTCCCTCCTAACCTACAATTATAGCTTGCCGCAGTCTAGTTAGAGTTATCATGAAAAATCCTAACTGGAAAACAGTTGGGAACGTCTCAGAAATAAATACTTTTTTTTTCAAATTCGGAGAGCGAATGTAACAAAATGTATGAAGAGAGAATATGAAAAAATCCCTCATGTTTTGTCAATATTTGTTCTACATAAACTTCATTTATGTAAGCATAAGATGCTTTTATGACTCCTGAATAAAGTATTTTTATTTTAAGGCACGTATTAAATTGCAGAACTAAAACACTTACTAGGCAGCAGGAAAGAAAACTTTTATGATAATGTATAATCAGATCCTACAAATGAACAAGGTTCAAGTAAACATGAGAGTATAGTAGCACGAAACTAAGACTTCCTTGGTATTCTAATCTCCTCCATAATAGAGATAAATATTGTTAAATGACCTATAAATTTGCATGGGTAACATTTTAGAGGCCTCTGCGTGGTAGAAGTCCACACCCCAATTTATATACAGGTTTTTCTCTCCTAAATCATGTGTGACCTTTAAAAACCATTGAATCACTCCTGATTTATTGACTACTCAAGCTGAGGGACTGAAGACAGATATTAAAGCGCATTAGACCTTTCTTCTCTGGATGCTTTGTTCAAAATATGTTGTCAGCTATTGAAACTACCCACTCTGGGGAGGAAATACATAATCTCCCGAGGGCCAGTATTTTCTAATTACATCAGGAGCCAAGCAGCTAGTTTTGCTCTAGTGATCAAATGGGTGCAATGCTGCCGCTTCAAAGAGACCCAAGCGATTTTTAAGAGTCCTTAGTTGCCTTGTAAATATCTTAATTCTTTTCAGAGATGTTTTGCCACATAGACTAGGGCGCGTTGGAGCCCATGCAGCAAATCTTACATTCTTCGGATGGCCCAATTGCTGCTTCCACATAATTCTGCCCCGCTCAAATTCAGCAATGTTTGAACAGGTAAATCCCACGAGAGAGATAAATGGTTTGGCAATTTCTGATGTTCCTTTTTTTATTTTACTTTTTATATGAAGTTTTATTGGTTTTACATAAAATTTATACACAACAAATGTAACATTTCCAAAAATAAGAAAAAACGGTTCTTTCGAACCTTTGCACATCCTTCTCTCCCTCCATGGATTCTGTTTCTATAGTTTATTCCTGCATATTTTAATGTAATCTATCCATTTTATAATAATGCTTTCCAAAGGTCATGTTACTTTACATCCTTGCATTCCTGCCAATGGCTTCAGCTGTTTACAGTGGTCTCTCAAATATGTTAAAAAATTATTCCAGCCTTTTAGGAATACTTGATCTTCCTGGTTTTTTAACAAAAGTTTCCTTAAACCTTTTTTTCAGCTCATTATATATCATTTCCCAGAAAACTTTTACCTCCCCACATGTCCACCACATACGATAAAAAGTACCCTCTTTCCTTTTACATTTGCAGCAAACATTTGAGCTGCTTCTATACATTTTCACAATTTTAAGGGATCCCTGACCATTAGGTCCAGTCGTGGCCGACTCTGGGGTTGCGGCACTCATCTCGCTTTATTGGCCGAGGGAGCCGGCATACAGCTTCCAGGTTATGTGGCCAGCATGACTGAGCCACTTCTGGCGAACTAGAGCAGCGCACGTTTACCTTCCCACTAGAGCGGTACCTATTTATCTACTTGCACTTTGACATGCTTTCGAACTGCTAGGTTGGCAGGAGCAGCGACCGAGCAACGGGAGCTCACCCCGTTGTGGGGATTCGAACCGCCGACCTTCTGATCGGCAAGTCCTAGGCTCAGTGGCTTAACCCACAGCACCACCCGCGTCCCTTCACAATTTTACTGGGTGCAAAATATCAGCAGTACATCATTTTCATATAGTTTTCTTTCAATGAACAGCAGCTTGTAAACTTCAAATCCTCTTTCCATAACTTTTCCCATGATAAAAGCTGTATACTATAACCAGAATCTCTTGCCCAGTGGCAATTTCCCATGTTCCAGTGTCTCCTGCTGAATTATGAAGAACATGTCAAATTTCCACAGTCTTGAACCGGGCAGTGTTTGTGACTGTGCTTGCAAACTTCTGAGAACATCCCCTTAAACCCAAGCCTGCTCTCATGCTTCAGTTGTTTCTTTGGCTCTTTGATAGAGATAAAAAAAGTATGGCACAGGCCATGTTGCTTCCAGATCCTAGTTCTTCATGGTTTAAAGAGAAAGGCAGATGCTAGTTTTACTCACTGCTACTCTTGCAGGAAATGAATATACAATCTCAGTCTGGTTTCCCCCTGCCATCTGCAGGCAGTAGGGAAGGTACCAACCTTCTCTGCTTTTTCTTCGTGGGCTTGGAAATTACTTTTCTCATAGAAGACGTTGCCGTTCCTACAGGTGTCCAAGTCGCTGAAACACTTTCACAGTGGTAGGACTGCTTCAGATGCTTCTCTCTCTCTCTCTCTTTTTTTTAAAAAAAATACAGTGGTACCTCGGGTTACATACGCTTCAAGTTACATACGCTTCAGGTTACAGACTCTGCTAACCCAGAAATAGTGCTTCAGGTTAAGAACTTTGCTTCAGGATGAGACCAAAAATCATGCTCCGGCGGCGTGGCGGCAGCAGGAGGCCCCATTAGCTAAAGTGGTGCTTCAGGTTAAGAACAGTTTCAGGTTAAGAACAGACCTCCGGAACGAAGTAAGTACTTAACCCAAGGTACCACTGTATTAACAATTTCAACATAACAATATATCAAAACATATTGTATTCATTATTTTCCCATCATTCCCCATCAAACCCTCCCCCCTGAGACTTCCCTCAGCTCAGAAAGATCAGAAATCTTTCCGATTTCTCAGCACATATTATTCTCTGCATATTATAAAATTATTTCATTCCTTATATTATCTATCTACCATGTTATCAATCACTAAATTTGTGTATGTTTATTCAAAACCTCCCAAGGAGTCCTATTCATTTTTAAATACTTTGTAAAAAGTTCCCATTCTTCTTTGAATTCACAGTTGTCCTTATCTCGCAGTTTGTATGTCAGTTTAGCCAATTCTGCATAGTTCATCAATTTTTCTTCCCACGGTTCCTTTGTCGGGGTTTCCTCATTCTTCCATCCTTGTGCTATCAAGACTCTTGCCGCTGTTGTAGCATACATAAATAAATTCTTTATTTTCTGTAGGAGTGCAAATATCCAGAGATGTAGTGATCAGGTGGGATTGCTATGAGGAATTATAACAGATATAGAGTAAGCCATCTGTGTCAGCAATGAAAGCATTGCGTTGACTGGGTTTAAACTATTTTGATATGATTTTTGATCAGTCTACACCTCTGCATCTCTAGCCCTTTTGACCCTGCTGCCCATTTCTCTCTCCTCACGTCATGTACACAGCAGTACACAGCAGTTGCTTCGCCAGGCAAAAGATAGTGGGCAAGTTCTTTGATGTAGTTTCTTATATACAGTGGTGCCCTGCAAGACGAACGCCTCGCAAGACGAAAAACTCGCAAGACGAAAGGTTTTTTCGTTTTCGAGTTGCTTCGCAAGACGAATGTCCCTATGGGCTTGCTTCGCAAGACGAAAACGTCTTGCAAGTTTGTTTCCTTTTCGTAAAACCGTTAAAACCCAGGGTGCATTGCTGGAAGAGGTGCAGTTGCGACTTGACCTCGAGGAGCAACACATTGCACACGGTGTGGTGGCCTTTCTGAGCTTTTTAAAGAGTTTGCTGGATTTTTGAAGCTTTTCCAAAACTTCTTCTGCAGCTGGTTGGTAAGTTAAACTTTTAAAACTTATTTACGGGATGGTCGATTTTGGGTTGGGGTGTTTAGAATTAAAGGACGGGGTGTTGGGGAGGTGATTGCAAGAATCTGGGAGCTTGTGTGGTTTTTTTTGAATTTTTATGGTTTTCTGTGACCATTGGGCCATGTTTATTTTTTTTTAAAAAAAAAAAATCTGGCTTTGCATTTTTGATTTCTGTGTGCTGGGTGGCTGGGGGAACAGCTGGGGAGGGGTTTGCAAGAATCTGGGAGCTTGTGTGTTTTTTTTTTGAATTTTTATGGTTTTCTGTGACCATTGGGCCATGTTGTTTTTTTTTTGAAAAAGTTTCTGGGTTTTGAATTTCTGTGTGCTGGGTGGCTGGGGGAACAGTTGAGGAGGGGTTTGCAACAGTTGGGGAGGGGTTTGCAACAGTAGGGGAGGGGCTGGGGAACAGTTGAGGTTTTTGAAGACTTTGGTGATTTTTAAAGCTTTCCCAAAACTTCTTTTGCAGCCATTTGAGGATTTTGAAGACTTTGGTGATTTGCAGCCATTTCGTAAGTTAAACTTTTAAAACTTTTTTTGGGGTTTTTGGATTTTGGGTTGGGTGTTTGGAATTCAAGGACTTGGTTCTGGGTTTGAATTGCTGATTTTTTTTTTCTTTTTCTGAGTTTACAAAGGTAAGAGCTGTGCTGCCATGGGACCCAAGAAGACTGCTGCTGCTGCGGAGGCCGGCGAGAGGAAGAAGGAGAAGGTGACGCTGGAGATGAAGAAGGAGATCATCCGGAAGCACGACGGTGGAATGCGTGTGACGGACCTCGCCAGGGAGTACGGCAGGAACCCATCGACCATCGGGACCATCCTGAAGATGAGGGAGAAGATCCTTGCGACTGATGCAGCCAAGGGAGTCACCAGGATCGTGAAGAACCGCCCAGCTGTTCTGGAGGAGGTCGAGAAGTTGCTGCTCATCTGGTTAGAAGAGAAGCAGCGTGCAGGGGACACAGTGACTGAGGCCGTCATTTGTGAGAAGGCCAAGGCCTTGCACGCAGACCTCATCCGGGAACAGCCAGGAACCTCGGCCGAGCCAGAAGTCTTCAAGGCAAGCAGAGGCTGGTTTGACCGGTTCAAGGCAAGATCCGGAATCCACAGCGTGGTCAGGCATGGAGAGGCTGCCAGTTCTGATGTTCCTGCGGCTGAAGACTTTGCCTTGGAGTTCCTGGAGGTTGTGAAGACGGAGGGCTACGTTCCACAGCAGGTCTTCAACTGCGACGAGACCGGGCTGTTTTGGAAGAGGATGCCCAAAGGACTTTCCTCACACAGGAGGAGGCCAAGTTGCCTGGCCACAAGCCCATGAAGGACCGTCTGACCCTGCTCTTCTGTGCCAACGCAAGCGGCGACCTGAAGATCAAGCCCCTGCTGGTGTACCACTCGGAGAACCCACGGGCCTTCAAGAAACACAAGGTCGACAAGGAGCGGCTGAGTGTCATGTGGCGATCCAACAGCAAGGCTTGGGTCACACGTGTGCTGTTTGTGGACTGGGTCAATCTTGCCTTTGGCCCTGCTGTCAAACAGTACCTGCTGGACAACGACCTGCTGCTGAAGGCTTTGCTTCTGATGGACAATGCTCCTGCTCATCCTAAAGGCCTTGAGGTGGACTTGTTGGAGGAGTTCAGCTTCATCAACATCATGTTCCTGCCGCCTAACACCACGCCACTGCTCCAGCCGATGGATCAGCAGGTCATCGCCAATTTCAAGAAACTCTACACCAAGGAGCTTTTCAGGCGATGCTTCGAGGTGACTGATTGCACCACCATCACCCTGCGGGAATTCTGGAAGGACCACTTCGACATCGTCACCTGCTTGAAGATGATCACCACGGCCTGGAACGGGATCAGCCAGAGAAATTTGGATTGCGCTTGGCGCAGCCTGTGGCCGGACTGTGTGGCACCAAGTGACTCTGATGCACCAGAGTCGACAGTGGTGCAGGACATTGTTGCGTTCGGGAGGACCATGGGCCTGGAGGTCACAGAGGAGGACGTCTGCGAGCTGGTGGAGGAGCACGACCACGAGCTGACCACCCAGGAGCTGGTTGAACTGCAGTCAGAGGTTGCGCAGGAGCAGGCCTCGCTGGAAGAGGAGGAAGCAACTGAGGAGCGGCCGTCCTCCAAAGAACTGAGGGACATTTGCCAGAAGTGGAAGGAGGTGCAGGCTTTTGCAGAGCGGCACCACCCTGATCAAGCACGTGGCACATGACCAAGCGAACACTTTTGATACGACGGTCATGTTGCCTCTCAGGGAGCTGCTGAAAAGGCGGATGAAGCAGCAGACCATGGACAGGTTCCTC